AAAAAAAAAAAGTCCTCCCTAAGGTCCTCCTGCTGCGGCAGTGCTCGGGAGCCAGGAGCCAAGAGTTGAGCCTTCGCCCCCTGCAGCCAGTCCTCTCCTTCGGGTACCATGGCACAAAAACAGCCCAGCTCCAAAAGTGAAAATAAAAGTCTCAGCTCATCCCCTGGGTGCTCTCTCTACTCATCCTGCCCTCCCTCTGCCCCCAGCTACCACAGAAACCCACAGGGCATCGGGGCCTGCATCCCGGGATGAGTCAGGGGGCCCTCCTGGGGGTGTAAGAATTTCCTTTTGTGCCAACCAAGGGCTGCTCAGTGGCAAACCCTCTCTCCCGTCTCCCCTGGCCAAAGGAGCAAGAGCACCTTCTCCAACCCGGGTGCGACCTCTGGGCCAGCTCAGTGGCCCCGGCCGTCTTTGAGCCTGGACTCAGGCCCTGCATTTAAGGCTAGGGTGTACAGAAGACCCAGGTATGGAGCCCGAGGCTGGAAGGGCTTGCCTCCCCCCCACCTCCTTTCATTCCAAGGAAGGGATAGAAAGAAAAGCAGAAAAGAAAAAAAGAAAAGCCTCTCAGTCTGAGGCCCCTGGGACCTTCCACAGGGTGCCAAGAGGCTGCGACCTGCTGCGACCTGCTGCGACCTGCTGCGACCTGCTGCGACCTGCCCGGCCATGCTTTCCGCTCTCACCTAATGGAACAAGACTGTCACTGCAGGGGACCAGGAGGTGTCCCAGGGCAGTGAAGAGGCTGGGACAACAGTAGTGGCAGCAGGTGGCCCAGCTGACCCCTGAAAAGCTGGCATCCACCCCCAGCGTGGCCCTCACTGCATATATTCTCTCCCCCAAAATAGCATCTCAGGAGGGGAGGGTGGGAGCTCTCAGCTCCTCTTCGCTCCTTCCCACAGCGCCTTCACAGCTCTCCCCGCCGTCTCTCGCGACCTGGTTTCCCTGCCAGCCCCTTCTGCTCTGCCGCCACCCTCACCCCCTCGTCCTCCCAGGTCCCAGGATGCCTCCGCCAGGGACAGAGCCTCCGCCCCGCAGCCTATCACGCCCGCTGTCCCCTGCCACCCAGCAATGACTGGCACACTATTCCCTGCTCTATGGGACAGCGGTGAACTCAGTGTACAGAAACTGAGCTTCTCAGGCGGCCCAGAGGACAGTTGTCATCCAAGGCAGGGGATGATGTTGTACTCCAGCTGGGTGTAACCCACGGGTATGGTTCCAGCCTGGTGCAGCTCAAAGCCTTGGGTTCAATCCCAAGAACCCTAAAAAAAATCCACTGAAGCAGCCCTGCTCATTTTTCCAAGAACTTCTTGGGGTGGGGAGATGCCTAAGCATTAGACACCTCCTAGAAAAGTGGGTAGGGGCCTCTGACAGCTGGGAGCCCCCAGGGAAAAAGCTCCCTGCCCCTAGGGGCCAGGGTCTCCAGAATCTGATCCAAACTAGGCCATTATAGTTCAGACTGCTTCGAAGGTCTAGATGCCAGACCAAGGTGGTTGGGATGCCGAGCCCAATGCCCACTCTGTTGGGGCAGACAGGACACAGGCTGGGCACAGGCAGAGAGGACTACATTGCTCCCAGAGTCAGGTGGGGCTGAGCAAGCTCAGGGGAGCAGGAGGGACCACTGGGTGATGGGGGCCGAGGACAGTGGGGGCTGCAGCGGGGCATCTGCCCACCCTGAGGGCGGATGTGCAAGAGTGGGCACACTTCCTCTGTCTAGGGCCAGCTGTGGGGTGACCTTCTGCCCCCAGCACCGTGGGAGAGTTGGAGGCAGGGAGACAGCACCCCAGAGCCGCCCCCCCAGGGAACTGCCTCCCCCTTTGTTATTTCTGGCCTCATTTTCTGGTCAAGAAGGGTGTCAGCGGTAATGCAAATGAGCGCGTGTTGGAGGTGCTGGCGACACCCATCCTGCCCCTCCCCACCTCCTAGTGCCCACACTCACACAGCGGACTGGAACGGTGCTTTGAGGTGGCGGTGGCCCTGCCCTGGGCTAAGGGGTATAGAGGGCGGCTGATGCTGCAGCGGGGCCGGGTTCTCACTGCCCAGTCCTCCCCTGTCCCAGGCCATGGCTGCCACAGCCCTGCCAGGCCTCCTGGGTCATGAACACAGAGCCATGTGGCATTTGCAGAGACAGGGAATGCTGCTGACTGGCAAATGCCTCGCCCTTCGCTCTGGGCTGCAGGGCCATGGACATCCGGGGTACCAGCCAGAGGCTGCTCGTCACACTGCTCTCGGCCCGCAGATGAGGCTGCACCTTGGATGCTTGGGCAGCCAGGGGCGCCTCAGAGTGCTGAGAGTTTCTCTGGAGCTCCGGCAGCAAAAGGTGGGGGAACAGATGTTAGAGGGTTCAGCCTCCCCCTCCGCCTGGCCCCTGTCTGGGGAGGACCCACCCTGGCCATAACCTCTCATTTGTGTCTGACCCCAATTCTTCCCATGGTCACCAAAAGCTACCCTATTCTTGTTGCTGAGGGAGAGACAGGTGTAAGGAGGTTGTCCTGTTCTCCCACCCTATAGAAAAATGTCACTGAGGGACCCCACCCGGTTCTTCTTCCTCCCATTTAATCAGTGGGAGAGTGTTCCTCACCCACATACCCCTCCCCTTACTCGAGATTAGCTTCTATGCACCCACCAGCTTCTGGAAGAGCTGCTGCCTTCCCTGACCCAGACGGCACAGGGATGCGGGCCCAGGACAGAGGTCTCGTGGCTTAGTATCTCCTGAAACCCTGGGAAAAGAAGGGCCAGATGTTGGATGGTGGCCTTTGATTGGGCGTGGGACTCCGAAGTCACCTCCCCCACCTGGGCCACATCAGGCTGCGGGGAGAGGCTGGGTCCCCTGGGTGTGTCTTTCCCAGGCTCTGTGCCCCCTCCTGGCTCCAGAGAACATCAAGCAGAGCAGAGAGTGTCCTATCCCATCACTGTCTGTCCTGCCTGAGAGGAGGTGGAAGGATGAGCGGGATCCAGCGTCTCAGCCTCTCCCCAGGCCCTCACCCCATGTCCTCCCCTTTTGGGGACATCAGATGAGAGGCTTTGCTGGCTTTTCCTCCCTCCCTGGCTTCCTTCCCAGCCCCTAGCAACTCTGTGTCCTGCACCTGAGCCCTTTCCCAGGTCCCTAGAAATCAAGGAGACAAGCTGCCAGAGTCTGCACCCTCTGTCTCCATACTGTCCTCACCCTGGTGACAGGGGTATGTCCAGACCGCAGGATTTCTGTCTTCTCCCCTACCCTGTGGCACACTTCAAGGATCCAAGGATTGGGGTCAGGGCCCCAGGGTCCCCAGACTGCCCTTTGCCCCCTTCCTCCTGGGCCAAGACCTCACTTTGCTGTGTGTGGCCCACACCTGTCACTCGAGGAATACTCCCCAAGATCCACAGGACCCAGCCCCAAGAACCTGAGTGCAGCAGTCATATGAGGAATTGAGGAATGTGGGGGGACCCCAGCACCCACTGGGCACAGGTTGGACCTTTCCTATGCCCGTGAGCCCTGAGGCATGGCAGGTCCCACCGGGGCTGGCACTCAGGGTTTGAGTACGAACATTGGTTGTCTATTGCATGGGTTGGGAGCTGCGACTTAGCACAGAACTTGGCCTGGAGCGGGACCCCAGGCTGTGAGAAGCAGCCTCCCCAAGCCCTGTATGGCTCCTAAGTGAACCCCTAAGCCACAAAGGGTCCCAAGGAGATTAATGGTGTGGTAGCACCAGAGCCAGCAAATAAGATGCCCAGGCCCTTTCTGCAGAGGGCACAGCCTCAGCGGAGGTGGGGGTGGGGGTTCGGGGGGTGTAGTCATGAGTTCATGACCTAGCTCTGACCTCCCGGGGTTTGGGATGAGGCCACAGGCCCCTCTTAGCCTTAACCTGTGAGGACCTCGAGGTTCTTCTTGGGCTGGGAGACTCCATCCACCAGCTGCAGGAGCCAGCCACGGAAACAGGGACTGCCTGGAAGCCTAAGCCCCTGCTAGCCAGAGCAGGGTGTTGGGAAGGAAGTTTGAGTCCCTGCCACCTTTTATTTTTTATTTTTTTTCAGAACCAGCGATTGAACTCAGGCCCTTGCGCTTGACACGGAAGCGCTTATTCCACTGAGCCATCTCCCCAGCCCCTGCTGCTACCTTTTAAACCAGGAGTGGTGGTGCACACCTGTAATCCCAGCACTCCGGAGGCTGAGGCAGGAGAACGACAAATTTGAGCCCAGCCTGAGAAACTCAGCAATTTAATGAGATACTGATTCAAAATTTATTTATTTTTTTAAAATTTATTTATTTATTTATTGTGTGTGTGCGTGTGTGGCCAGCTCAGCCCACCAGGGGGAGGGGCTGGCTGGCGTGTGGTGCTGGGGATTGAACCACGGTCCCTGTGCTTTGCTTAGCTTGTTCTAAGTAGGTGCTTTAGACCTCTGAGCCATCTCACCAGCCCCAAGAGAAAGGGTCGGTACGGGGGCGCGAACCGGCGACCCCGCGCTCCGCGGCCCAGCGCCCAGACCGCCGCGCCAGGTCGCCGCCCTTCAAAATTTAAAATTAAAAAATAGGCTGGAAATGTTGCTTAGCAAAGACCCCGGGTTCAATTCTAGTACTGCATAAAAGTCCCTGTCGCCTCTTGGGACAGGTGGCTGCTTCAATCTGCTCTAAACGAATTTCACTCTTAGGTCATCTGTCACCCTCTCGTGTCCAATTGTGATTTCTGATACCCCACGTGTGCCCCGACTCTGAGACCATTTCCATGACCTCCTGGTCCCCACGCTGTGGCCCCACCCAGCCACAGAAGAGGCTCAGGCTGAGCGCAGATGGAACAGGTAAGTTTTATTCGGACTTCCGACTTGTTCAGAGCTCGGGCCCCACCCCTTCCCAGGCCCCCTTCCCCATGTCCCCTCCTGGGGGAACACTCAGGGTACGCGCCCGTGTCTCTGGAGTCGGGGGTCCCTTCCCCACCTGCCACACCCCTTCACTCTCAGCGCTGAGAGGGGAGGGGCGTGGGGCAGGAACGCCTGGAAGATTTGGATCAGAACGGAGCATGCGCAGGCGGTGACGGCCACTGCCGCCCGCCCGCCCCAGCTGAAGTCTGGGGAGGCTCGCAGTGGAGGGGTGCATTTGGTGTGGACATCAGGCTCCCTGGCAGGAGGCTCCCCACCTTGGACCTGGGCCCCGGGCCTTCTGCTCCCACCCTTCTGAGGGTAGACTCTGAGGTAGATTTCACAGAGGGAATGTGGGTCCATGGGGCGCAGGAAGGGGGTTAGCTCTTTTGAAGTTGACCTCCACAGCATCCTGGGCCGGTTTTGGGGTCCTGGCCCAGGTGGCAGGGGCTGATGACACCCACCCAGCACACAGAAGCCGAGTCCCAGGGGACTCCGGTGGGGAAGGGTGGAGGGGCACCTGCCTCGACCGGCTGCACCTGGTGGGCCGGGAGGCGGGCATGGTTCCCTAGTGGCCCTTTGAACAGGGTCCTCTGCACCTTTCCTCTCCCACCCTCCCTGCTCCCCAGGGTGGGCAGAGGGGAAGAACAGGGCTGGCCTGCAGGACACTGCCACCTCTTCCCCTGCACCAGGAGCTCCCCCCCCCGTATTGTGGGGTGGGCCACAATACAGAGGAACTGGCATCTGTTGGGGCAGCCTTGGGGACCCTGCGGGAGGTGCTCCCCCGACGGAGCTCACGCCAGCCGGGGAAGGTGGGTGTTTGTGGAGGGGCTCAGGGCACACATGGAATCATCCAGGCCCTCCTCTCCTGGAGCCCTAGCTACCCCTCGGATCCAACCCTGTTTGAGAACAAAGGGGGAGGCTGGGGTGTCACCCTGCCTGTGCTATCCCAGCTCCCCACTTCCCCAGCAGGGATAGGAAGCTGTGAGAGCTCCCCAAGGAAGAGCCAGAGCTGAGTGCCTGAACCAGGGAAGATGGCACACATGTTGACTCGGTAGCTTGTGGAGGTATCTGGGGGTTGTGAGGGGCAGGAGCCCCCCACGAGATTCATGCAGCATTCAGAGTGGGATGACGGGAGAAGACGCAGACGGCCAGCAGGGGGAGGCGCCTAGATCTTGCTGTTCTCCAGGTGAGAGTCAATATGTTTGATGAGAGCATCATCTGGGTACCCCACAGGGAAACCCAGCTGGCAGAGGGGGCAGCTGCGGATGTCGGAGCCCACTGTCTCCATCAGCAGCTGTGGAGAGAGAAGGATGTCACTACACCCAGAAGGCGTGCATGGGTACCTGCTCAGCCTGCCTGGGTGCCTAGACAAGGTCCCAGAGAGACTTCAGACAGCACTGGGGCACCCAGAGCAAAGGCTACCCCAACAGCATGCAGCTCCCCAAGAATATTCTGTGGCTCTGGGATATTCAGGAAGTTCACTGCTGCCCTGAGGTGCTGCAGGCCTGGGACAGGGGTATCTTCTGGCAGACAAACACAAGCCGGTCTCTGAGGCCTTTGGGCCAACACTGGCGGGCAGCCTGTCCCACTGCAAGCCCAGTGTACCAGAGACTGGCAGAGAGCACCCCATTTCTGGTTTGTGCACCTCCTAAGTGCCCTGTAAGAGGAACAGATAATGGAGCCTCTCTACAGATGAGAAGACTGAGGGTGATCAGAGAGGGCCACCTATCCCAGGTCCCGGGAGTGGACCAGAAATCAGAGGCAGGCCCGTCACAGAGCAACACCACCTTGATAGCAGCGTTCGGTAAGTGTCCTAAGGGTGCAGGCCCAAGAAAGGGGTGGGAGCAAAGGCAGGGGTGGATCCTGCAGCTGGGGAGCCTGGGAGGCGTGGCCCCGAGGCGCAGGGACCCTGAGACGGCTGGCTGTGGGCGCCCCTCCTTTAGGTGCTTGGCCTGTCCACTCACGTTGATGGACGGCCAGGACTGTGCGTGCTCGGCGGGGGCGCAGGCAGCAGCAGTAGACTCCGGGATCGGGAAGCCTGCGCAGAAGGAGGCACAGCGGATGGCGCCAGCCTCGGGGCTCGGCGGGCTGGCAGGCACTGCCCATTCGTCCTCCTCTGACGGCTGCTTCTCGAAGCGCAGCCGCAGGCCCTCGAAGGCGCGGCGCGGGCTAAGCGGCCGGCCTGGCCCGTAGAGCTCGGCGCCGCCGCCGTAGGCGCGTGGCTTGGGCAGCGTGGCCGCCTCGGCCTGCAGCCAGTTGGGGACTGCGCCTGCCAGCGCCGCGCCATCGGCCAGCTCCGAGTAGCTGCGGCGGCCCTGGAAACCGGCCTTGGCGAGCTGCGCAGGCGGCCGCGCGTAGGCGCGCTCGGAGGCTGGCGGGCGGTCGGCGGGCGTGG